TGCAGTTCTGACTTGTTAATAGAAAGCAAGTTTTTAGACATAAATGGCATTTAAGTAGTTTTTATTACTACACTACTGTTGAAAATTGTTATACACATGTACTTTATGTCTGTAATTTTAGATCTATTGTTGCACAGGATTTCTGGCTATTACTAGCCAGTTGCATCAAGTAAATTCTGATTTACTCGGTTGGTGGCTTTGTGAACGACAGTTGCCATCAGGTGGACTCAATGGAAGGCCAGAGAAGGTATTGATTCATAAGATACTCTGTTCTAATAGCTTTATAACTACTATAGCTTCTTGTAAATTGATAATGAGCTTTTACCCCTCGCCCCATTGCAATTTTCCAGTTGTACTTCCTAAAAAATGCTCTTGGCAAAAGTAAAACAGCTGGAGTGGAGATACTTATTAATTATGGTATCCATTTAAAAGACTTAAGGAAAAGATGTGTATGCTGCCTTCTGATGTTCTTTCTATGACAAAGCTGTCTTCTGGTCTTTCCAATCATGAAGTGGATTCTGGAGTTACCTGAAGGAAAATAAAAAAAATAGCAAATATCCTAGCTTAGAAATACATTTATATTCAGACATACTATGTATTGTTAAAGTGGCTTTTTCCCTATCTTGAGGGTCTTATATTTTCCAGCCATTGAAACGAAGCTGTTTCTTTAAACTTTTAGTTATAGACCTATACCAGCGAAAATTAGTCCTGCATTAAAAGCTTTCTTTAGGGGCGCCTGGGTGGCTCAGCGGGGTAAGCCTCTGCCTTCACCTCAGGTCATGATCTCAGGATCCTGGGATCAAGCCTCATGTCAGGCTCTCTGCTTGGCAGGGAGCCTGCTTCCCCCTCTCCTTCTTCCTGCCTCTCTGCCTACTTGTGATCTCTCTTTCTGTCAAATAAATAAAATCGTGGGGAAAAAAAGCATTCTTCATATTTGGGACCCAATGAGTAGTGTTAAATGAATACATGTATTTTGTACAGAAGTCTCTGTGTCTACTTCGTGGGTGTGAAAGGACAATTAATTTACCAAATCAATGATTTTTAAAAATTACATTGCTAAATTTTTATTTAAAATCCTTACTAAAATTTTTAAGAAAAACCCAATTTTTGACATTTTGATTTGGAGAAAGGGGAATCAAATTTTCCTTTGCACATCCATAGTTCTCTTTCGCTCTCACATACTGTGTTCTAAATTGGGTCTGTAAGGGCCAGGTAGTAAATGTTTTCAGTTCTGTAAGATACATAGTCTTGTTGGCAAGTACATAACTACCCTAAGGAGTAGATGGTGCCATAAGAAACCAGTGGGGATAGCTGTGTTTAAGTAAAATAACAGTGGTTACATTTGAATTTGATGTGATTTTCCTATCACAAGACTGTCTTTTTTGTTTTTCTGGATTTTTTTGTTTTTTGTTTTTTAGACTGTATTTTAAAAAATGATTTACACATACATAAAAACTTGGGTTGAAGTCAAGTTAGACTTCAAGGGCTATAGATTGCTGGATGCTTGACAGAAAATAAGATAGGGCATGGTGGTGCTTTTGTCTGGGTCATTGTATTTTTATTTTAGATTTGCTAGTTCAATATTTACGAATAAGTTGGGTAGGGAAATACCCACAGGTGGTTTCTAGCTACTTACAGTCCAGTGAAAAACCTGCAACTTTCAACAGTTAGAAAATGGGTCAGGGTTGGGATTGCCAGGAATCTGCACTTACAGTGTAGGACAGTTTTTTATGTGCTTATGAATCACCCAGTGATTTTGTTGAAATGATTCTTCAGTCGAAGGTGAGATATTCTGCATTCTTTAAACCCAAATGACCAGTGTTTGAGGAGCCAGGCTTTAGGTTATTTTTAAGCAAATTACATACCTACCTGGATAGCACTTGTTGAAAATGCTCTGACTAGGGAAATAGAACATATATCACCATGGATTTCATGAGTGTTAACCACCAGCTTCTTGGATAAGGGACATTCATTGCAGATAAAATAAAGGTACAGGGATAGTTGTTACTGAGTTCCTAAACTCTGAAACATTTAGTGTGGGTATCTGTGGATTGAAATGTTTGGTCTTATCCCAGTGATTGTCTTTAAATCCAAGTAATTGTATTTATGAATTTTAGCATCTCTAACTGTATGTCAGTATATCCCTTAGTCTCCTCCAGCACCCCGTGTTTGGATCAGAGAATAAAATTGCGGCAATTGCTTGTGGTTTTTTCCCTTCTAGTTACCAGATGTATGCTATTCGTGGTGGGTGTTGGCCTCCCTAAAGATAATTGGAAGGCTTCATTGGATTGATAGAGAGAAACTTAGAAGTTTCATTTTAGCATGTCAAGATGAAGAAACAGGAGGATTTGCAGACCGACCAGGAGATATGGCAAGTATATTTCTGACATGTTCATGTAATAGTTACATTGCTTTGAGTTACCTTTATGTCATTTCCAGACTTAAAAATGGATGATATTCAGCGTTTTACTTTTTAAGCAGGATACTTTCTAGGTAACTTTTGAGAATATATGAAGGGAAAACAAGTTTGCAGAAATTTCTCATCACTTAATTGTCAAAAAAAATGTGTATGGTAAAAGGTCCTATGTTAAAAAAAAGTTTGAAGTCATCATTTTTAGAAAACTAAGCATTTATTCAAGTAAAGAAAATACAATGGAATCCAATATAGCTTGTTCAGAAGTAGGGTTTTAGAAGTTTTCATTTTTGTAATACTCTATAAATTCTTATTTTTTAAATAGGTAGATCCTTTTCATACTTTATTTGGAATTGCTGGATTGTCACTTTTGGGAGAAGAACAGATAAAACCTGTTAGTCCTGTTTTTTGCATGCCTGAAGAAGTACTTCGGAGAGTGAATGTTCAGCCTGAACTAGTGAGCTAGACATTGATGGAGACATGAGACATTGCTTAGTATAGTTTTGCCATCTTAACATTCCTATAAAGTGCTTAACAAACTTAAAAATGACTACTGTGTTATTATTTTGTATATGAATTGTATTAGTTTTAATAAATTATGTAATTATGCATAATGTAAAATAAAGATCTTTATCTTCAGCTTTAGATTTCCTTCTGCAATGCTATTTTTCTGAGTACAGTATTTTGTTTCTGCTTCATTGTATTTATTTGTATGTTTCCTTAACAGCAAACTCAGTTTTAAAGAACTATCAAGAAGTCTTTTGTTCTACTTGTTTTTCCCATGTGCTTCTTTCATGATATATGATAATGGCTAATGTAAATTGATCTGTATCAGTGAGAATGTTAATTGATTAAGAATTGATAAACCCATCCATATATGAATTAAAAGATGCACCAGAATAAACGGCTGTTGAAATTTGAGACTGTTTCATAAGTTTATGGTTACTTTGAATTCATCACAGTGATTTAGGTAAATGGCACATTGTACCATTTTAGAATAGGACAGCATTCCGGACTACATCTTATTTTTTAAACATTTCTATGTCAGAATGCCAGCAACCTATCCAAGGAATTGTTGGCCCTTAAGGAAATAGAAGTTCATAGTTACCACAATATTTTTTGAAACTTCCAAAAGACTGGAATGAGCACAAGTATTCGGAGACTTCTACATTCTTGATGAAAATAAAGTATTTCAATGAACATTTTTCTTGAAATGGAAGTTGAAATTTTCTCAAGCATGTTGGCAAATTCTAGTAATTGTTTCAAGAATGATGATCAGTGGGCTCTTGGCTTGCTCAGTTGGTAGAGCATGCATGCCACTCTTGATCTTGGGGTGGTCAGTTCAGGCCCCACAGTGGGGGTGGAGTTTACTCAAAAATGAGTAGTGGTGGTTCACTTAGACATTCACCAATGTCAGTTGTAACATCTTGATGAGAAAATGCTTACATGAGATTCTTGAAATGTCTACCATTATTTCGACAGTTTACTAAAGAGTTTAGGCTGAGTTGCCACTATTTTTCTGAAAGTTTTGGAATTGGATGGAACATAATCTTAAATGGTATCACTGGAAGTATTTGAAGGAATTTTGAGGATTCCAGTCATTGCATGTGGGTGAACTGTGCTGTTAGACACCTGACTTACTGAGGTAATTCAGCAACTGCATGAATTCAGTTTTTCTTACTATCGAAGTATAGTTGGCAGTGTTCCATTAGTTTCAGGTGTACAACATAGTGATTCCATAAGTCTGTTAAGTTATGGTCAGTAATGTTTGAATATATTCCAATAGCAGTATCCAGAGTATTTTCTCAATCCTAGTTTCTTTGGGAAGTTGGTACTATTTCTATATTCAAGAAAATAGGCACAAAACTTAATTTCATGGAGGTAATTTGTTGTAAAGCTAGAGTTTGGGTTTATATAGTCTTATTAATTTGTACCTACAGTATGAGAAACTGGGAGCTGTCCAAGAGAGATCTCATCCATTGACCTGCTTCTTAGGTTATTGCGGATACAATAATATGCTTAATGGGTGAATATTATCTTGTGATAATGACAACATTCTTGTGGTTATTTAAACTGCAGGAGGTTAATGGCTCCTTTTTGTGTTTCTCCACAAGAGCAATGTTAGGTGGGCTGAACACTGACATTTGTCTACACCATCATAGGCGTTCGGTGTCTAGTGATGGACAGTTTGTAACTTAAGCTAAGTGTATTTGGGGGTGTGGGAGATGTTCAAAAGCAAACACCTTTAGTAAAATAGAGTGCCGTGAGACTAACGGGGCTACCAAATTTGATGGTCATTGATCAGCTTTGAAAAATTCTGTTCAGCTAATCCCTGCAGATTGAGGAGAGCTGTACTTCAGATTAAGCTCAAAGCCAAATCCTGTGGTGGGTGAAAGGACTGGGCACCCGTAGGAGTAGGGCCCCCAGGCATGGGTGGGGGAAAAGCTGGGGCTCGCTGCGCCTGCGCATGGGGGCTTTGTGCGTCTGCGCGCCGTGCTTAGGCCTTTTCCTGCGACGCTTCTCTAACTTCGGGTCAGTGAAGGGACGCTCAGCAATCTCAGACTTCTGCTTGGGAAGATTTGTGAGAATGCGGAGGCCTGAGGTCTCAACAGTCTCACCGTCGGCCCCTGCGGCTTCCCTCGCTTTGGGAGAACCTCGGTCTCAGGGTCCTTGCTATAATTTCGGACTCCAGGAGACTCCTCAGAGCGGGCCTTCAGCGCAGGCCTCTGCGTCCACGCCTTCTGGCACGTCTGCAGCCGCCGGCGACCGGAGCAGCAGCACAAGCCTCCCTCGCCACCCGCCTGGCGCTGGCCCAGCACTAGGCAAGGAGTATTTGGATGGATTCACGGGTAGCTAGAGCGCTGCAGCTCCGGGAGGTTTCCCAGCGCGGTGGTGGCTGTTACTTCAGAAAAGTTTCAGTTGTGATGTGGTTGAGAGGATGAGAATGGGGTGCTTTAGAAATTTGATGGGTCTGAGTGAGTGAAAGCCCGGACTCCTCAAGTTGGTGAATGTTATTTTTATTTTTTTTTCCTTTCCATTTATAAAGCATTTTTTAAAATTATTATTATTTTTTAAAGATTTCATTTATTTGACAGATTACAAGTAGGCAGATAGGCAGGCAGAGAGAGAGAGAGAGAGAGAGAGAGAGAGGAGGAAGCAGGCTCCCCGCTGAGCAGAGAGCCCAACACGGGGCTCAATCCCAGGACCCTGAGATCATGAACTGAGGCGAAGGCAGAGGCTTAACCCACTGAGCCACCCAGGCGCCCCTAAAATTATTTTTATTAACATATAATGTATTATTTGCCCCAGGGGTACAGGTCTGTGAATTGTCAGGTTTACACATTTCACAGCACTCACCGTAGCGCATATCCTCCCTAAGGTCCATAACCCAGCCACCCTCTCCCTACCCCCAGGAACCCTCAGTCTGTTTTGTGAGATTGTCTCTTATGGTTTGTCTCCCTCCCCATCCCATCTACAAATCTGTTTTATTACAAGTTGGGGATGGTAAATGGCTCAGTTCTGAGGAAGGCTGCAATAAAACCTTATTTAATAACCGTCTGTCTCCCTCCCAAAAGTATATGACAAATGACAGAATTTGTGGAGTTTGGTGATAGGAGTGGTTCCTCTTGGCTTCTGAACTAGGATGAAATGAAAATAGATTCAATCCAGCATTTCATCTAATTCAGTTGAGTAATATGTTTAAGTATTTAACAGTGTATGTCTTTCAATTCAAGTTCAACCCTTTTATTTTATATTTGGACAACTCCCCCTTTGTGGAAAAACTATCACTGTTTTTACACACCATTTTAGCACAATAATAAGGTAAATGCCAAATCCAGTGCTCACCTTTCAGTTCACCTGTGTTTAATGTTCTTGACCAGTCTTCTCTTGAACTCTTAATTTGGTTTCCCTAATTCTACTCTTCCCTGTTTTTCTCCTTTCAGAGAACTGCTTTGCCTACCGTTATCAGTTCCCAAATTATGGTTTGTCCTTAGAGTTTTGGTGTTTTTTTCTAGGTCACTTCTTGGATGTGATTATCATTGCTGGGTTCTCCCCTATGCTCCAGATTCCTATTTCAGACTGTATTCTGAAATTTCTAGGGGGGAGAGACCAATGCACACCTCAGACTCACTATATGATTAGTTGAATTCATCTCTCTACAGTTCCTTCAGCTGTTTCTTTTTTTTTTTAATATTTTTTTATTTATTTGACAGAGATCACAAGTAGGCAGAGAGGCAGGCAGAGAGAGAGAGAGAGAGAGAGAGAGAGAGAGGAGGAAGCAGGCTCCCTGCAGAGCAGAGAGCCCGATGTGGGGCTCGATCCCAGGACCCTGGGATCATGACCCGAGCCGAAGGCAGAGGCTTTAACCCGCTGAGCCACCCAGGCGCCCCCCCTTCAGCTGTTTCTTAACTCTATCCCTGGATTGTCTAAATCTTAAACCTGTAAGACTTCAGCAAATTTCTCACATCATCCAGTTAATAAGTCCTATCTTTTATCTTTTAAATAATTCTTTCCTCTCTGTTTCTGTGCCGTTACAGGCTCTCATTATTTTATGTGTGAATTATTGCATCAAACTCTAGCATTGGTGACTGGATAAATGGTAGTACTACTTCCTGATAAAGTGGGTTTTGTAGGAGAATCAATTTTTAGAAGGAAAATGAGTTCTGTATAGACATTGTAAATGTGAATAACCTTTAGGATATCCATATGATCACTCTGAATTGAATTTATGGATCTTGGATTAAGAAGAGAAACTTAGGAGAGATTCAGATTTGAAAGTCACCAGTATATTTGACGCCAGAGGAGAGAAGATAAAGAAGACACAGCAAAATAGAGGTCAAGGAAATTGGAGGGCAACTAAGACAAGTGATAAGTTTCCAGAAGGAGCTTAAAATCTAAAAGTAACCTGAGGACAAGAAACATCCCTGTCTGTCTCTAGCTCCTGGTAACCACTCCCTTCCTTAGTTCCTGTGGTGGAGCACATGGGTTTTATATGCTTCTTTATGATGATATCCTTATACTGTGTCCATACCTTTGTAAATACTTTATCAAACTTCTCAAAGTATACTAGTTTGAATGTGTAATCCAGTTTCTGCTGGTACCTATGTAAAGGAGTCTGATTTTATCCCATGGTGGGTATGGAGAGACAGTGAGGAATTGTGAGAAAGGAAATTTCTTTTTTGGAAAGATCATTGGTGATTATGTGAAGAATGGATCAAAGAGGCATAATTCTAGAAGCAAGGCCTGAGGAAGATACAGGCTTAAAATGGGCCAATAGGAGTAGAAATGGGGAGAAATTTTAGTGGTATTAAAAATTTTTTTTTTACCAGACTTACTGATTGGGTGTTAAGATTGATGAAAGTGGGGGCGCCTGGGTGGCTCAGTGGGTTAAGCCTCTGCCTTCAGCTCAGGTCATGATCTCAGGGTCCTGGGATTGAGTCCCGCATTGGGCTCTCTGCTCAGCGGGGAGCCTGCTTCCCCCTCTCTGCCTACTCTCTCTCTCTCTCTGTGTCAAATAAAAAAATAAAAATCTTTAAAAAAAAAGATTGATGAAAGTGGAATTAAGAATGATTCCTTAGTTTATGACTTGAGTGACAAGGTGCAAGATGTTATAGTTGGCCACAACTGGTAATAAATAAGCTTTGAGGAAAAGATAGAGTATATTTTTGAACATTTAAAAGTCTGGAAAGATCTCTAAAAGTTTATATCCAAGAGGTAGTTAGATTTAGGGACCTAGAGCCACACTGATAGAACTTTCTGTGATGACAGAAATATTTTATATCTGTGTTAATATGGTAGCCAACAGCCAAATGTGGCTTTTGAGCATTTAAAATGTGGCTAGTGAGGCAGAGTTTTTAATTTTAGTTATTTTTTATTTAAATAGTCACATGCAGTCAGTAGCTACTGTATTGAACAATGCATTTATAGACCTAAGAATGGGTCTTGTATTTTTAAAGGGCTGAAAAGTAAAAGAAGAATATTTTGTGATGTGAAAATTATGAGAAATTCAGATTTTAGTGTCTGGAAGTAAAGTTTTATTGAAACATAGCCATGCTCATTCATTTACTGTTGTCTATGGCTGCTTTCCCAATATAGTGTCTGAGTTGAGTAATACTAGCAGAATGTATGGCACACAAAGCCTAAAATATTTACCATCTGGCCCTTTATTTAAAAAGTTTGCCAAAATGTGCTTTATAGTTTAAGAGAAGTTAGGGCTTTATATGAAGGTTGAAGGGTATAAATAACTAGAAATAGATATTACTAGAGACCAATATAATAGATGAGATGCCCAGAGAAGATGTGTAATGCTAATTTGTGAGAGAAGGTAAAAAGGTGTGGAATCTTGGGAAGCCAACAGTTAAGAGGCAGACAGAGGAAAAAGAATCTGGCAAAGTAACCTAAAAGCAAGTGGTAAAGGAGAAGCAGAGTTGTCATGGAAGTGAAGGGGAATAGGAGCAAAGAGCCCCAATATATAATTTTAAAAACTTTTATGTGCCAGGACATTAAGGTAGACTGCTTCATGTATATTCTTTCTGATTTTAAGGCAATTCTGTTAAGTAATATATCAGTAGGAAAGTGCCTGGACAGGGAAATGAATCCAAGTGAGTCTAAAACTCTTTTTATACTATTTGTATGGAAGGAAGGAGTGTCAATGAAGTTAAATCAAACGAGGAAAAGAGGTCTTGTAATTGCTATATACAGTAAACATAAATGATGTATTTGAAGATTTAGAAGGTAGTTTATGATTCTATCAAGAGTAGTCTCCATTTGAAGAAGCATATTAGTAAGCACTTTTCCTTATATTTTAGTACAAGATTATTTATCAATAGTACCATTAAATTTGTCATAATTTGCTGTATTTTTAGAAGTCATCAGATAAAGTTTTATAGAAAGTAAACATGATATAAATTATATTGATTAAAATATTGCATAATTCTGAAACTTTAAGAACTGATATTTAATTTTTCGAATTTAGGTTCACACTTCAGGAATAAAAGATCTAATGCAGAAAACACATTTGCATCAAATTTTAATTTTGGTACAAGCTCATCTTCTACACAAGATAGTAATTATCCTCAAATACTGAAAACTCCATTGTCTGCTGGAAATCCCCAGAGATCAGGTTATAAAAATTGGACACCACAAATGGGATATTCAGGTAAAATGAAAATGAGTGGAATGTTGATCGAGATGACTTTGGAACTTTTAAGACTTGTAAATTGTAAATTAGGGTGGTTAAGTTCATTTGAAGTTATTTGTAACTAATACAGATGGCTGAAAGAAAAATATTTCGTTTACCCATATCCATAATTGAAGGTTAAGTTAATGCTACATGTTTCTGATATTATTTGTTAACAAGTGCAGGTCTGCATTATTTTAACTATTCTGACTTAAAAAAACAAAAAGAGAAAACTCTCCCTTTTATACATGATATTTACTGAAATCTAGAAGTTGATCCTGATAGCACTATTGTACAGGATTTTTTTTTAATACTTAAATTTCAGTTTTTAATCTAAATCTAGTTTCTCTTGAAGGGAAAATGGATGAAATAGTTCTTTAATTTCAGTTTTTATCTAAATCTAGTTTCTCTTGACGGGAAAATGGATGAAATAGTTCTTCATGTGTAAGTATTCTCTAAGGTACATGCAGTGGAATTTCTTGGATACAGGATATATGAATGTATACATTTACAAGATAATAACAAATTGTTTTTCTAAGTGCTTCTACCAGTGTACACTATTACTAGCAACATATGAGAGTTCTTGTTGGTCTGCATCCTCTCCAACAGTTGGTATCGTCAGACTTCTTAATATTTACCAGTCTAGCAGTTGTAAGATACTAACTGTAGTCTGAATTTGTATTTTCCTGGTTATTAGTGAGGTTGATTACCTTTTGTGTACTTTTTGACCATATAGCTTTCATTTTTGTGTGTGTGAAATGACTGTTCATGTGTATTATCTATTTTTCTTTAGGTTTATTTTTCTGGGTTTGTAGAAATTCTTTATATATTCTGAATATATATTCAGAGTATATATTCTTTTGACAAGTACATATATTGTATATATCTTCTCTAGGTTTGTGACTTGTCTTCCTCCTTTTCTTATGATGTTCTTGGATGAACAGAAATTCTTAATTTTATACATTTTTAGTAAATGTTCTGTCTCCACTTTTAAAAAATCTTTTACAGTTGTGTTTTTTTTTTTATGTATATTAGGTTTCTTTCTTTCTCCCTTCCCTCCTCCCCTTCCCTTCCCTCCCTTCCCTCCTTCCTTCCTATTTCTTTCTCTCTTTCTTTCTTCCATAAATTACACCCGTTGTGGGGCTTAAATTCATGACCCTGAGATTAAGAGTCACATGCTCTACCCACTGAGCCAACCAGGTACCCTATTAGGCCATTTCTTTCATTGTGTTGTTTACATATGTATCACCAAAGACTTTTTTGTACTTATATTAAAAACTCCCAGTATGATTGTGGACTTGTCTGTTTCTCTAGTAGTTCTGTTAATCTTTTGTTTTGCATATTTTGAAGCTATTTTAGTAGGAGCCCAATAATTTAGCATTGGTATGTTGTAGTATGAAATGACTCTCTTCATCTCTTAATATACTTTTTGCTTTAAAGTTTATTTTGTCAGCTATTAACATAGAAATTCCTTTTCTTTAGGTTAGTGTTTATATGATACATATTTTTGAAATTTTTGACTTCCTAACTTCCAGCCTTTATACCTGGTATTTCCTATGCTTAGGAACACTCTTTTCCCCTTTTCATACAGTCAATTCTTATTTATTCCTCAAGTCTAAGCTTAAATGTTATACCTTTCAGAAAGCTTTCTGTAATCCTATAAGTCTAGGTTGAATCTCTCTGCTACCTGCTCCCATTTCACTTCACATTTTACTAATGATATTGGTATTTTAATTATCTTTTTTCTCCACTGCACTGTAAAATCCATGAAGGCAGAGACTGTAGCAGTCTGGATCTAATTTGAAGATTGAACCATATAATGATTTAAACAAGGGTGATTTAATATAAAGAATTATTAAACTATGATAGAAGACTCACTGTAGGATAGAAGAAAACTCTGTAAAATACTCTAGAGCTGCGGGGAGGCCCAAGAGGTCATATTTGGAAGCAGGCTCTTTTCAGGACTCATCTCCAAGTCTGGGGTATAGATCTCCTTGGAGAAAGTGAAGTTGAACCTACTAAATGGCAGAGGCTGCAGGTTTGCCATTTGCTCATTTTACAAGATAATAACAAATTGTTTTTCTAAGTGCTTCTACCAGTGTACACTGTTACTAGCAACATATGAGAGTTCTTGTTGGTCTGCATCCTCTCCAGTGGTTGGTATTGTCAGGCTTCTTAATATTTACCATCTACTGACCCCAGAGGAACTGTTGCTACATGGGGAATTTAATGTTGATCTCTGCTGTTGGTAGGTTAGGTACTCACAGTGTGGTTGACCAGGTCAGCCTTGGTAAGAGGAGGTTCATGATGTTGAGCCCATGCATATCCTTGCTACCATGGCTGCTTTGTTCATAGATTTACTAAAGAAGCACTGGGTTGGCTGGGAAAAGAGGCTGGTTGACATCCATTGAGTGTATCATTTTGTCTACCTGATTATTAAGAGTTCCCTCTATAATAGTTGGCCTTTAGTGGGCATTCACATGAGACACAAATATTTTCAAAGTTTGTGCCCATTCAAAGAGGTCCATCTGCATACTTTCCCCCCAGCTTTCCTTCTTATTACCTTCCAATCCCATTTCTTTCAAGTCCCTGACTATCCAGGTAGACCATCACCAACTGCTTATGAATGAGTCTAAATCTGTACTTCTGGTATAGTACTACCTTATTCCAGACATGGTAGATAACCAAAGGTACTGGTCAAAGTTCTGCTCAACAAAAGATCAAAGTGAATGAAACAGCAAAAAAAATTAGAATAAAATACTAATGCATATCAAATATCTCAGTGAAAGAGTTTTATAACAGAAAAGCAAAGGAAGAAATTATAAAGTAAAAAGATTATCTATACAAAAGCAGAAATCTTCAAGCTATCAGATCAAGATTGGTAGCAACTATAAATCATTTTCATTGATATACAAAATTTTCATAAACAGATGGAAAACATATAGATTTAATAAAAACTGTAGAAAAAGACATGAACATCTCAAAAGAAAATATAGAAAATGAATGGACATGTTAAATCTGTTCAATTTTGACAGTAATTTTCAAAAATACAAATTTAAGTGTCAGCAAATTAAATTAGGACGGAGGGGAATTAGGAGGGGAGGGAAAACTGGGAATAAATCAGAGAGGGAGACAAACCATGAGGAACTCTGGATTCTGGGAACCAAACAAGGTTACAGAAGGGAGAGGAGTTGGGGCATGGACTAACTGGGTGATGGGTATTAAGGAGGGCACTTGTGATGAGCACTGGGTTTTATATGCAACTAATGAATCATTGAACATAATAATAATAAATAAATACAAGGAAAAATGAATTAGTAATAATAATATAATACATTTCAGAAGTTAGTAATGGTAAAGACACAGTAAAATTGATTTTTCTCATATACTACTGATGGAATCAAAAATTGGGGGAAAAAAAAAAGAATTGATACAAGGACACTTGTCTGGCTTAGTTAGTAGAGCATGTCTCTTAATATTCAGTGTTGTGGGTTTGAGCCCCACGTTGGATGTGGAGATTATTTAAATAAAATTTTTTAAAAAATTGGTATAATTCTGAAAGAAATTTGGTAATACATATGCGATCCTTAACAAATGGTTTTCCTTTGTTCCAATAATTGACTTCTAAGAATCTACAGTAACGAAATAATAGACCCACAAAAAGCGTTAGGCACTAGAGTGCTCATTATATTATTACTTACATCAGAGATAACAGTATAAGCATTCTTTTAGAAGTTTAAGAGAGATATCTTCTGAGTCTACTAAATTTCTATTGGAACTTGGTATTTATTTTCCAATTAAAAATAGGAAGGTCGTATTTTACTGCAGAATTTAAACTGCCTTAGATCTAATATAAACTCATATATCTAATATAAACTCAATCATAATGTATAAATCAGATGGCTTTCATAGCAAAGAGGGATTGGAGATCTAGACATAATATATTTTTAAATGAACTCTTAAATTGACTATTCACTAAGATTACATAATTATTTAATTTTGTAGGCATTATAATAGAAGAGTAGAAAAAAAAACGAATCTAGGTCAGGGAAGTAGAAGAGAGAAGAAATGGGTTCTATTGAAAGATTGACAAGGGAATCAAAAATAAATTTGCTTTTTGACAATAAAATTTTAGGTATTTTTGTCTGACATTTTTTTCATCCATGAATTTCTCATATTTAAATAATTTCATATACTTTATCAAAAAACCCTTTTATATTATTGCATTTAATTCTTACAACAACTTTTGAAAAAGGTTGGTATTTCTACTTTCAAGATGAATAAATGGTAGCTTTATAAAGGTTTAACAATTTACCTGAATACTCATTGTTTGTAAGGCATAGATCTCAAAATCAGTAATAATATGTAAAGGTTAGGAGCACCAGATCTGGTGTCAGGCTGCCTGTGTACAAATTCTGACTTTAGTAGCTCCATCTGTGCTTCAGTGTCCTTGTAGGTAAATGGAGTAAATAATGATATCTATTTGATAGAATTGTGACAATTAAATGAGTTAATTCAAATAAAGAATTAGAACATTCTTAGCACTTTAATAAAGTATTATAATAAATATATAATACACATAATTATATATAATATATAATAAAGTATCCAACATTACACACATAGTTACATATAATTGAAATTTATAGTTACATAATATTTTATTCTTTTTTTTTTCAAGATTTTATTTATTTAATATGAGAGACAGAGGCAAAGGGAGAAACAGGTTCCCCGCAGAGCAGGGAGCCAGATGTAGGGCTCTATCCCAGAACCCTAGAATCATGACCTGAGCTGAAGGCAGACGCTTAACCCATTGAGCCACCCAAGTATCCCTATAATATTTTATTCTTTATAAAATGCATTCATATATATAATCCCATTTGATCCTTTCATTACTAGTTCTTGAGTTAGGGCAGTTATTACATTTTGTGATTTTTGATTATTTATTATGAAATAATTTGCTCAAATTCATATAGCTTTTAGATCCTAGAGTAGGATAAATAATCTAGGTTTTCTCATCCCAAATTCAGTTTTCCTTCATAACTCTATCCCAATAAAATGCAAAATAGGACAATGTATAAGTTACTTCTAATTTTAAAGTTAAGTTTTGGCAGAATACTTTGAGAATTAACATTGTTATTTGGTCTGGATATGAAAAGTTGTTTCCTGATGAGGAAAAAGTGTTATTTCCTTGGATATTAAGAGCCATGTCCTGAACTTGATGCTTGAGATCTTATTAAAAAGAATGAGATCAATTTTGGAGGACCACGGGAAGGGAAGGAAACTGAATGGGAAGAAATCAGAGAGGGAGACAAACCATGAGAGACTCTGGACTCTGGGAAACAAACTGAGGGTTACAGAAGGGAGGGGGGTTGCGGGGATGGGGTAACAGGGTGATGGGTATTAAGGAGGGCACCTTGTTATGAGCACTGGGTGTTATATGTGACTAATGAATTGTTGAAAACTACATTAGAAACAAATGATGTACTATATGTTGGCTAAGTAAACGTAATAAAAAAAATAAGAATGAGAACATACTGTTATTAATGTTTATACATTTTCTTTTTAAAAAAAATTTAACAGCTCCATCGTCATCTGCAGTTTCAACAAACTCCCCATCAGTTGTTGCAGCTGTTGTAGAAGGTAGAGGACTTGCCAGAGGTGAAATAGGAATGGCAAGTATTGATTTAAAAAGCCCACAAATTATATTATCTCAGTTTGCAGACAACACAACATATGCAAAGGTAAGTATTTATACTCTTAGAAAATGGTTGACCTAGTGTGCACTATGTAGATTTTCAAGTCCCTGCTTTCCTAATTAGTTTACTTTTTCATGGAATAACAGTTATTCACAATTGCACTAATGTAGGCTATTCTGAATTAAAATTGTTTTACATCTGATTTTAATTTTTGAATGTATTTTGTCCTAAAAATAATGTGCTTTGCTGTTATATGAACGTTTCAAATTACTGTTAATTTCTAAAATTAACCTCTTCAAGTTAATAGTTCCTGCACTCATTCCAAAGATTATATATTAATAATGCTATTGCCAAAGGGTTGTTTCCACTGAATAGTATTTGAATTTTATTTTCTAGAGCTCAGGGAAACTGGTCTTATAGGCCAGTCATAATTTAGCCTCTTCTTCCCTTCACTTCCTATCACTTATCATTAATTTGGGCCACTGGCCTGTTGTCATGAAAATTTCTGTCACTTACCAGGTAGAAGTAATCTGCTTCTAATCTCTATATTCTAAAAAGTTATTTGACCCAATTTCTATTATTAAATATGTATATGCTATGTTATTTTTAGCATTTTATTGTTTTTTTTTTCCTTTTCCTAATTCTTCTTTATGGTTTCTCAGTACACTGGTTTCCTTTTCCTACCTAATAATTAATTTTTTAACATAGCTATCAAACTACATGATACTAGTACTGCGTGTAACTTTATCTCTGGGTATTTCACATTTTTATGCAATTTAAAAACATAGGAAAAGCTTTTTTAAAAACAAATGTTTGGCAGATTGACTAAGAATTTCTGTGTCTGGGGTGCTGGGTGGCTCAGTTTAAGCATCTGCCTTTGGCCTCAGGTCATGATCCCGGGACCCTGGGATCGAGACCCACATGGGCTCCTTGCTCTGTGAGGAGTCTGCTTCTCTTTCTCCTTCTGCTCTTTTCCCTCACTCGTGTTCACTCTCTCTCTCTCTCTCGGAAAATAAATAAAATCTTTAAAAAAAAAAAAGAATTTCTGTGTCTGGGATAGTTCCAAGAAATGCACCTGTATTGTGAAAAGAATAAGTTGTAAATTATGAGTTTCTCATCTGTGTTTCTATACTGTTCAACTTCTAAGCTTTATCAGTGTGGTCATATTGACTGAATCACCACAGTTACACTTTTGAATGTGTTTATGTTTTTTATGGAGATGGATAAAATACCAAATAGAAGAATTTATTTTAAAACATCTTATTTTAGGAATATATATCTGATAAGTTCAAATTAATTTTTGAGCTTAGAGCTGTTACAAATTATTGTGTGGTAAAATATAGCCTATGTTTATGATATTTTATTTATATGAGATATATATACAAGATATATTTATATATACATATAGAATATATGTTTATATATCACTATTAGAAGTATATTTTAACTGACATATATAATTGGAACAGTTGTAATTTTGTGTCTCTGTGAGTTAATTTTAAGTACTTATCTCTCAGAAAAATATGCCACTTGTTTGGTTTTGGAGAATCCTAAGCTTACATTGAAGAAATTATTTATTCAAATGATTTTAGGTAATCACTAAACTCAAAATTTTATCGCCTTTGGAAATAATAATGTCAAATACTGCTTGTGTTGTGGGGAATTCAACTAAGTTGTTTACTCTGATCACAGAAAATTTCAAGGTAAGTGATTTTCATTCTCAATAGTAACATTCAAATCTTACCTAATTTAAAATCCATTCTATATTAGGTTTCTGGAGAACAATAATTTGAACAACTATATATTTACCCTAAAGTACTCACTAAACACAAGTCTGAAGCTAAAGAACAGTTAGTACATAAAATAAAAATGACAGGGCTTCCACTTATTTGATTTGGCAAATCAAATCTACCTTAAACAAAAGGGAAACTGTTAGCACTAATAAGGGCTTCTCAGAGTATACAGGAGGCAGACCCTTAGCAAAAACAGATTTCCTTAGGTATAGCTGTGTGGAAACTAGGTATTGTGCTACCAGACTAGTTGAAATTGAAATTTTTGTTCTAGGAGATAGCACTATCAGCAAGTTCTTTTTTTTTTTTTTTTTTTTTAGAGAATTTGATTTGTATTACAGAATTGTCTTAGCTTCCCCTGGTAGCATGTATTCTTTACAGTTAACCTACTATTCTAAGCCTCCATATGTGGGACTGTGGCAGGTTAAGTGTTCTGGAACTTTATCTAGTGAATGCTCTCTCTGCAAGTGAGAGCTTTTCAAACATGCAGTTTGCTTCTTTCCTCTAGCAAATGTTTTGGGCAATGGGGGCTGTAGTTCCAGACCAAGTAGGCAGCATGGCAGTTGGAATAACCACCTGAGGAGTGCAACTTGTTTTCAGAATATACAAGTTGGTAGCCTTAACTTTAACACATTTGGTATCAATCTGAGATTTAGAATCCAATGAGTTCTTTATTGTTCTTAATATATTCAGCATTTGCAATTATATAAGATTTCTTGTTGTGCTCTTAGAGATCCTGTGTAATTCAGCTGTCTTTGACTTATTGCTAAAAATGACCCCTATTGTCAATCTGTTGTTTCTATGATACAGGTCTCTTTATCTGTTACCTCTTTTATTCATTACTTCAAACTTCTTTTCATTACCTTTATTTATGTATACTGTTTCAACTTTTGTTATTTTGCTCTGCTTAAGCATTTTAAGTCTTGGGTTGTAACAGTAATTCAACTTAAAGTAGCTTAAGTTAAAAAAGAAAGAAAGAAAACAGAAAAAAAAAACAAACCCAGAAATGTATTGGCTTATTATCCAAGCCAAATTGTTGGATAAATCTTACCTTACTCATTCCCACCACCATCCACCTTCTTTTTTTTTTTTTTTTATTGTAGGTAGGTTATTTCTGTGAGGCTTAAGATAATTATGATGGCTACAGATTGATATGATATCTTATCTAATTCAGAGAAAAAAGTGTATTCTTCCTTCCAGTTTCCATATATAAATTCCAGGGAAGGACCCCAATGGGCCCTGCTTTGTTCATATTCCTACATGTTAGACTAATCACTATTTCTCAGGATAGAAGCACTATGATTGATTAATCCCTGGTCATTTGTTTTCTGGGGGACACAGCTCTGTAATCAACAGTTACGAAAACCACATGGAGTGTAAAACAGATGAGTCCTTCAAAGGCAAAAATAGCGTATATTCACTACAGTTGAGATGTAGGGCAGTATGGCATAGTGCTTAAGAATAGAGGAGTCAGACTGCTTGTTTCAGATCTTGACTCTAAGTGATCTTGTGCATGTTAAGTTACTTAAGTTTTTTTCATTAGTAAAATAGGGACAATAATCTACTTCCTAGAGAATTGGTATTTTATATAATGTAATTAGTGAGATGACCTCATTGATTAAGGTTACATTTGGGCAAAGCCCTAAAGGAAGTAAGAGAGCCATCGAAGTATTTGGGTTAAAAGTATTATAAGCAGAAGGGAAAAACTAATATTATTATCATTATTACCACACCTACAATAAAAAAAAAACCTTCATTAAAAGAGAAGCATTATGAAATGGAAGGACTTTGTAGCCAGAGAAGTCTAAATTCAAGTCTCAACTCTGGCACGTATCAAATGTATGATGTTAGAAAAACTACTTGACTTTTTAGAATTTTACTTGTAAGAAAATTGTAGTTAAAATAAGACTTACATCATGGAATTATTGTGAAGATTAACTGAAATAACTTAAACACTCTTGGTACATAACAAATTCCCTACCTCCTCATGAGGTTTTTTTTTTTTTTTTTTTTTTTTGTTTTTTTATAGCTCTTTCATAGTTCATTGTTACTATATTATTTTTCTTATGTATTATTTTTATTCAGAGTAGGTAAACCTTTTATTCTACAACTTCATGCTTTTTTCCCCTACTCTTTTAAAAAAGTTCCATTATCTCCTTTTCTTCTAAATAAATTTACCTCATGTATATAGAATCTTATAGATTTGCTAGCTGGAATTGATGTTTTCTTCCTCTGCAGCTAATACATTATAAAGATCTGCTCTATCTCAATTATGATGGAATATATAACACCAAATATAAAACCTGGGAGGTGGTGGAGCTGTAGAATAAAATTAGAAGGCAGAGGCTCTCGTGTTTAAATTTTATTATTATACCTACCACATCCAATTAAATATCATGTGACTGTGGTCTAATAAGAGCTATAGACTGCCATAATTCACTTAGCAAAACAGATAATCATTCTCTTTTTCTTAAATCATTAAGCAAATATTCTATTTAACTCTGGAAAATAATAAATAATAAAAAAGAAACTTTATACGATATAAAGCCACGTACACATGTACCTGCCTGCATGTGTTTAAGAAAGCAATTTTGGGCAACTGCATGAAACTTAAAATTTATTTTGGAATTAAAACTTTTTTTTCAGAATGTTAATTTTACTACTGTCCAAAGGAAATATTTCAATGAAACAAAAGGACTAGAGTACATTGAACAGTTATGCATAACAGAATTCAGCACTGTCCTAATGGAGGTTCAATCCAAGTAAGTTATCATTTAGGGAAAGTAATAAATCTATAGAGTGAGTTCCATGAGGGCAAGGTCTTTTGTCTGTTTTGTTCTCTGCCGTATCCCTAGAAAAGTGCCTGGTTTATAATACACAGTCAGTAATTACTGAAATAGTAAAATAGTTAACTAAAATTTATATACAAGGCATATTTTGCTAACTTAATTTATATAGAATTTTTCCAAATTGGTCATAATCTATTGCTGTTGTGGTTGCTGCTCACTTTACTCAAGTAGCCACGGTAACCTAGAAATGTGAGGCACAGAGCTGTAGTCCTGTTATTTCATACATGTACTCCTAAGAGATTCAGCTAGGACAGGGAATGATATTTTCAAAAAGGATATATATATATATATATATATATATTTTTTTTTTTTTTTTTTTTTAAAGATTTTATTTATTTATTCATCACAGAGAGAGAGAGCGAGCGCGGGAGAACACAAGCAGGCAGAGCGGCAGGCAGGGGCAGAGAGAGAAGCAGTCTTCCCACTGAGCAAGGAGCCCGACGCGGGACTCAATCCTAGGACCCTGGGATCATGACCTGAGCCGAAGGCAGCGGCTTAACCAACTGAGCCACCCAGGCGTCCCCAAAAAGGATATATTTTTTAAGATTTTATTTATTTATTTGACAGAGAGAGAGAGTGAGCATAAGCGGGGCAGCAGCGGGCAGATGGGGAGAGAGAAGCAGGCTCCTGGCTGAGCAGGGAGCCCTGCATTGGGCTCCATGCCAGGACCCTGAGATCATGACCTGAGTCAAAGGCAGATGCTTAACAGGCTGAGCCACCCAGGCACCCTAGAAAGGATATTTTTTAGAACATACTAAATAGATACTTTCCTTGAGTTATGTTGTACTAGTGACTAAGCTCACCAAGATCCTAACATATTTTTCTATACTTAGGAACCTCCTAACTTTGTCTGACCTTTTCAACATGATTTGAATTCTTAGAATGGTACATTGACACATACTACCACTGAATATTGTTTTCCAACATGTGATTTATTGGAGTCCTTAAGTGTCAGACTTCAGAAAATTGTCTGTTCTATGAACTTTTATGGTTTAGAGGTTATTTAGCAAATTTTCAAAAGTAAAGAGCACTGAGTGTGCTTTTTCCCTTTGAATTTAAGCAGTGCTATGCAAATATTTATAATTTTCCTAATAATGAGGTGAAATAAATGTTTTCTTTTATAGCAATACTTTTTATTTATTCTAAAGATTTATAGTGATGTTTCATTGGTCACCTTTCAGGTATTACTGCCTTGCAGCTGTTGCAGCTTTATTAAAATATGTTGAATTTATTCAAAATTCAGTTTATGCACCAAAATCACTGAAGATTTGTTTCCAGGGTAGTGAACAGACAGCCATGATAGATTCATCATCAGCCCAAAACCTTGAGTTACTAATTAATAATCAAGACTGTAGGTAAGATCATCCAATTTTTTTCTTACAAAATGTATCAGTATATTTTATTATGTCCTATTTTTCTATAAATACTTTACATTTCTTTAAATTGTTTGATGTAGAAATAATGAATAAACATACCTTTAATTATTGCGCCATTGTTGCTGAACTGCTAGATGTTTCACAAAAGTCAAATTTTAAAAAAGCTATTTGTATGAAACAACAAAAAGCAAACAGTCCATTTCAAAATAGACAAAGACTTGAATGGACTTTTCTGCAAAGAAGATATACAAATGGCCAATAAGCACAGTCATTATGGAAATGCAAATCAAAACTACAATTAACTACTTCACACTCATTAAGATGGTTATTATCAAGTAAGTAGAAAATAAATATTGGCAAAGATGTGGAGAAATTTGAACCCTGGTACATTTTTCATGAGAATGTAAAATGGTACAGTCATTTTTGGAAACAGAATGGTGACTCATCAAAGAAGTTAAACATAGAATTACCATATGATTCATCATTCCACTTCTAGGTGTATATACTGAGAAGAATTGAAAGCAGAGACTCAAAGAGTTACTTGCATACAAGTGTTCATAGCAGCATTATTCACAGTAGCCAAAAGGTGGAAATAAACCAAATGTCCATCAATGAATGACTGACTAGATAAACAAAATAAGGTATATACATGATGTACAATAGAATATCATTCAGCCTTAAAAATGAATGGAATTTAGGGGCGCCTGGGTGGCTCAGTGGGTTAGGCCGCTGCCTTCGGCTCAGGTCATGATCTCAGAGTCCTGGGATCGAGCCCCGCATCGGGCTCTCTGCTCTCTAGGGGAGCCTGCTTCCTCCTCTCTCTCTGCCTGCCTCTCTGCCTGCTTGTGATCTCTCTGTCAAATAAATAAATAAAATCTTTAAAAAAAAAAAAAATGAATGGAATTTCAGGGGCACCTGGGTGGCTCAGTCTGTTAAGTGACTGTCTTCAGTCACTAAGTGACTGTTAAGACAGTTAAGACTGTTAAGTGACTGTCATGATTTTAGGGTCCTGAGTTTGAGCCCCGTGTTGGGCTCCCTGCTCAGCAGGGAGTCTGCTGCTTCTCCCTCTGTTTGGACTTTCTCTCTCAGATGAATAAATAAAATCTTAAAAAAAAAATGAGTGAAATTCTGATAGATGCCACAAGATGTATGAACCTTGAAAACATTGTACTAAGTGAAATAAACCAAACACAAAAGGAAAAATATTTTTTAATTCCACTTAGATATCTAGACTAGGCAAATTCATAGAGATAGAAAGTAGACAAAAATGATCAGGAACTTGGAACAGTGGGGAGTGAGTTGTCACCGTTTGGTGGATTCAGAGTTTCTGCTTGGGATGATGAAAAAGTTCCGGAAATGGGCAGTGGCAGTGGTTGTACAATATTGTGGGTGTATCTAACAACACTGAATTATGTGCTTAAAATGATTAAAAAGGTAAAATTTATGTTATGTGTGTTTTACCACAATAAAAAGAAGATATTGTATCTAGATTACTACAAAATTAGAATAAGCATCTTTAAAAGCATCAAGTCCAGGAAATTTAAGGGGCTATGTAATTATTTGAGAAGGTAAAAATAGTTGAATCAACTTGGTCTATGGTATGACTAGATTGCTGGTTTTATTGGTTTCTTATTAACTTTAATTAGAGCACCAGGAATATTGATGGTGGGCATGAGAGATAAAGAGATAGGGAGAGGCGCGCGCGCGCACACGCACACACACACACACACACACACACATGCATGCACACACACTGTTTGTAGATTTCATAGTGGGTTACTTAAAGGAGAATTAACATGTTAATAGAAAATAATCAACATGGTGATGGTCAGGCAGAAATGCATTAATGAGGGGTCAGTTTGGGACAAAGAATTAATGAGCTATGATTTTTCTCCTTGAGGAATTACAGTCTAGAGTAGGAAACACAAAGGCAGTATTATTAACATGTACGAAGTATGGTGATAAAATTTGCATAAAATGGATCATAGCAGAGAGTGGGTTAAGGATAAAAAGGAAGTAATTAGGAAAGGCTTTCTAGAGGAGAAAATACCTGAGGTAAGTTTTGAAATATAAAAAGTTATCCAGATGAAGTAGAAAAGGTGAAAAGTCAAGTCTTAAAAGCATGATTTTCTTTCCTTTTTTCTTTTTTTTTAAGATTTTATTTATTCACTAGAGAGGGAGAGTGAGTGAGAAAGAGAGAGAGAGAGAGAGCACAAGCAGGAGCCCGGGGGTCGGGGGGTGAGGGGAGAGGCAGAGGGAGCAGCACACTCCTCGCTGAGCGGGGAGCCCAACATGGGGCTCGATCCAGGGATTCTGAGCTCATGATCTGAACCAAAGGCAGACACTTAACCTACTGATGCACCCAGGCATCCTGAAGGCATGACTTTCTTTTCTTTCTTTTTTTTTTTTTCCAAGATTTTGTTTATTTATTTGACAAAGAGAGAGATCACAAGTAGGCAGAGGCAGGCAGAGAGAGAGTGGGAAGTAGGATCCCTGCCGAGCAGAGATCCCGATGTGGGGCTCAATCCCAGGACCCTGAGATCATGACCTGAGCCAAAAGCAGAGGCTTAAACCACTGAGCCACCCACGCACCCCATGATTTTCATTATAACAGTATGATATGTGCAAGGAAACTAAAGCTATTTAGTACTATTTATTGGTAAAGTGCAAGTTCAGAGTAAGTAAGCTTGGAGTAAATAATCAGCTTCTGGTAATTAAATATAACATTAGACATCAATGAAAGGGATAAAGTGATTATGATTTTTAGTATTAAGAATATTGAAGGGAATAACAAGCATTTTAGAGAAATGAAATCTTAAGGTGCTCCGTGCAAATTTAGAGCCATAGTTGTTTCAATATCTCTGTTACTTTGTGTATTCTTATCTTGGCTTTACTTTCCATTATGTGGAATTGCCAGACATTATTTGCTGTTGCAAACTTAGAAACAAAAGCTGTCGGGACGCCTGGGTGGCTCAGTGGGTTGGGCCGCTGCCTTCGGCTCAGGTCATGATCCCAGCGTCCTGGGATCGAGTCCCGCATCGGGCTCCTCGTTCTGTGGGGAGCCTGCTTCTCCCTCTGCCTCTGCCTGCCACTCTGTCTGCCTGTGTTCGTTCTCCCCCTCTCTCTCTCTGACAAATAAATAAATAAAATCTTTAAAAAAAAAAAAAAAAAAGAAACAAAAGCTGTCTAATTTTGTTAATCACTTATACTCTAATCATCAAGAGCAATTTAAATCTAGGTGCTGTCGATACTATTTTAGTAAGATTATTACTGTATATAATGCTTTTGGTTATGCATCAGTATAGTGGCCTCAGTTTCTTTGCAGTTCCATTGAATAATGATGGTCTAAAATTACAGCCTTAATTTATAGTTAATTGTAGCTTTATTCCTTTTCAGCTTAGTGAATAATATTCTTTTCTTCTTCCTACTTAAAAAGAATTAAAATAATATTATCTGGAAAAATTACTCTTGTCATTTACTTTCTATGTTATAATAATGTAGAGTAAGATAGAGAGTCAGCAACCAAGACTGGTAATTACCACAAAGTGTTTTATAACTTTGCCTCATTTCATAGTTCATCATTATTTATTATTATCATTGTTAAACATTGCTTGAGTTCCTACTATATATTACATGATAGGATATTTGCCCTCTAAGAGTTCATATTATTGTTGAAAGTGAAAATTGAGAAGTCTTTTCACAGATTTGAACCAAAGAATATCAGGTTAAAAGATGGATATTTGACCTGCTGAACTATCTGAATAGCTCTAACACTCCTGAGACTTGTCACCTACCTGTTCAGAGCAGTTTCACCCTTTGATTTCTATAGCAAGTGGCAGGTTTGGGTATGCTGCTCACTTCCTTGGTTCCTGTAGATGTCCAGTTCTCAAAAAGTAAATGCCTGTGATGACCCCACCCCCACACCTGACCGGGACTTGATTGGAGTAGTTCTCTAAAAATTTGTTTAAATTGATATACCAGGGGCCCCTGGATGGCTCAGTTGGTTAAGCAACTGCCTTCAGCTCAGGTCATGATCCTGGAGTCCTGGGATCGAGCCCCACATCGGGCTTCCTACTCAGCTGGGAGTCCACTTCTCCCTCTGACCCTCTCCCATCTCATGCTCTCTCTCTGTCTCATTCTCTCTCTCTCTCAAATAAATAAATAAAATCTTAAAAAAAAAATTGATGTACCAGGGCACCTGGCTGGCTCAGTTGGTAGAGCATATGACTCTTGGTTTCAAGGCTGTGAGTTCGAGCCCTAAAAGTTTACTTAAAAAAAAAAATTGAATGGGACGCCTGGGTGACTCAGTTGGTTGAGCAGCTGCCTTTGGCTCAGGTCGTGATCCCAGTGTCCTGGGATCGAGTCCCGCATCGGGCTCCTAGCTTGGTGGGAAGCCTGCTTCTCCCTCTGCTTCTGCCTGCCGCTCTGTCTGCCTGTGCTCGCCCGCGCTGTCTCTCTCTCTCTCTCTCTGACAAATAAATAAAATCTTAAAAAAAAAAAATTGAAATACCAAAAACCTGCTAGTCTGATGACTAAGTTAAGAGTCATTCTTGTTTTCTACCCTCTCGCAACCCATATTCAGTCCACTAGTAAATCCCCTTGACTCAACCTTTGGAATACATACTAATTCTGGATCACATCTTACCATTTCCAAGGCTACAACCCTAACCATTACATCCATCATTTTAGCCTGGACTACTATAATAGCCCCTAACTTGTTTCTCTGCCTTCTTTTTACCCTCCTACACTTAGTCTTTTCTTGATCCAGTGGGCAGACTGTGATCCTTTTAAACTAGAAATCAGATGTTGGAACTCTGTGGCTGAAAATCTTCCAGTGGCTCCATTACATGTAGAATAGAGTCCAGACTCTTTACCATGCCCTATAAGAACTTCTTTGTCCAGGCCTCTATCAGCTTCTTCATCTTCCTCCATTTCCTTTCACTTGCAAAGTTCCACCGACCTTGATCTTCTTTCTGGTTCTAGATCCAAGAAGCCTTCCTGGGCTTAAATTACTGTTCTACTTGCCCCCCTCTTTTAAAAAAATTTTATTTATTTATTTGATAGAGAAATCACAAGTAGGCAGAGAGGCAGGCAAAGAGAGAGGGGGAAGCAGGCTCCCTGCTGAGCAGAGAGCCCGATGCGGGGCTCCATCCCAGGACCCCGAGATCATGACCTGAGCCAAAGGCAGAGGCTTAACCTACTGAGCCACCCAGGTGCCCCTATTTGGCCCCTTTTAACTACTAACTCTTTTCTTGTTATTTAATTATTAGGAAACCTTGGACGAGTTAATTTCTTTGCACTTCAGTTCCTTATAAAATGTGGTTAAATATAACATCAACTTCACACTGTGGTTATTAGAATTAAATAAATTAATAAATGTAAAGTGCCTGGAATATTGCCTGGCACATACTTAGTGTTCAATATGTTACCTACTTTCAACATTGTCAACATCACTTGCATCCCATCATCATCTTTGCATGGATACCTTTTGAATTCAACTACCAAATGTACATATAGGTCTCTCTCAACCAGCTTAACTAAAGAACCCTCCTGGTCATTCTCTATGCAGTCCTGTTCTGTTTGTTTGTTTAACACTTTCTGTACCTGAAATTATTTTCTTTCTTTTTGTTTGTAATTCTCTAACTTCTTCAATTAGAACAAAGTGACTATATTAAATATCTATTTTTTTCAGTGTGAAAGCTCTTTGCCCTTATAAAGGATACATTACTGATATCTTGCTATTATTGATGGAATGCCATGGACTACAACATTTTATATTAGTCTGAATATTCTAGCTGATCTATGAAAAAAATCATTTAATACAAAAAGATACTGTCTACCCTTTGTTAATTAAAGCATTATCCATTGATAGCATACTTGGGAGCTTATTCGAAATATATATTCTTTGGCCTCATCTCAGACTTAGAATTCCCTGTGTGATTTGTATGCACATTATAATGTTTGAGAATCACTACTGGAGATTGAAGGATTATTTAGAAAGTTAAATGGTTGGGGTGCCTGGGTGGCTCAGTGGGTTAAGCCTCTGCCTTTGGCTCAAGTTATGATGTCAGGGTCCTGGGATCGAGGCCACATGGGGCTCTCTGCTCAGCAGGGAGCCTGCTTCCCTCTCTCTCTCTCTCTCTGCCTGCCTGTCTGCCTACTTGTGATTTCTGTCAAATAAATAAATAAAATCTTTAAAAAAAAAAGTTAAATGGTAACTTCTTTGGATTTTATTTTTTATACTTGATGAAATTTTCCTTGTTTGTGTTTTCAAAGGAATAATCACACACTCTTTGGTGTTCTAAATTATACTAAGACTCCTGGAGGAAGTAGAAGACTTCGTTCTAATATATTAGAACCTCTAGTTGATATTGAAACCATTAACATGAGATTAGATTGTGTTCAAGAACTACTTCAAGATGAGGAACTCTTTTTTGGACTTCAGTCAGGTAAATGAATATCACCTAATTTTATGAATACAAATTATTAAAAAATACATTGTCTTTTTATAAGAATACTAGTCATATTGGATTAAGGCTCAGCCTAATAACATTATCTTAACTTGATTACATCTGCGAAGATCTAATTTCCAAAAAAGATCACTTTTAGATACCAGGACTTAGTACTTCAAAATATCTTTTTGGGGGACACAGTTCAACCCCCATAACATCAGGTAAGAGAATCGCCTTTGGCACCTGGCTATTTGTTCACTTGCATGGCAATACGACTCTCTTCTTAAATCTGTAGGTAGAAGGACAGTAGATACACACTGCTCCTAGTTCAATTCCTGGTTCCTAGCAGTTTGATCTATCTTTCATACCTCTATTCTCCCAACCATTCCACCTGGTGTTCTGGTACATGAAAATCTAGGAGGCATTGAGCAAGCTACAAAGAAGCCATTTTTTAAAAAAGTTTATTTTCTAGTAATCTCTACACTGAGCATGGGGCTCAAACTCACAACCCTGAAATCAAGAGTTGCATGCACCTCTGGAGGACTAAGCCAGCCAGGCACCCCACAAAGAAGACATTTTTAACTGTATTCCTTTTCTTGTTCATAGCAACATCTTTTTGGCTGACCTATACCTGGCATTCCATGTAATACATAAGTGCCTAAAATATGAAGTTATTTAATTATGTAATGTCAGTCAAACTCCAACAATAATCAGCTTTTTAAACTTTCTGTGACCAAATATGCAGTTGCCCTTCTCCTGCCTGTAGTTAATTGCTCTACCTATGTTCTGGATACTGTCTTTGTACTCATTTTTCTCCCGTATCTTTAATATTTTTCCTCTCTTCCTCCTGTCTTTCCTATCTTTGTAAAACAAACAAACAAACAAACAAACTCATTGGACTTTACCTTCTCCAGCTACCACCTTATTTCTCTGTTCTCCCAATTCATAGGTAAACTTGTCGAAAGACAGATTTTCTGCAGTCACTATCTTCTTTTCACAATATTTCAATGTACTGTTTCTGTGCTCACTGTGTGAGATTCCTCTAGTAAAGGTTACTGTAGCAAATGTTATTGGTTCTTTGTCAAGATCTTCTTGTCTTTTTACCTTTATGTATACCCCTTTTCTTGCTCTGTGTGGCTTTTGCTTCTCCTGGCCCACACTTGGAGTCTCTTTGGAATCCTGCCCCCAGACTATTAGCATTTTGCTTTTAAGAAGCATGCCAAAAGAGTCTTGCAGCCCTTAACTCCAGAATTCTTCTATAGGATCAGTTGAAGTTACCTTCAATAGGACTTTGCCTGAAATTATACTTCTGCTTGACTTTTTTTCCCCTTCCTCATCCTTCTCTCTTCCCCCGTTTTCTCTTGGAAGCATTTAAAAAAATATATTTAAGTTTTAGTTAACATACAGTGCAATATTGATTTCAGAAGTAGAATTCAGTGATTCATCACTTACATACAATACCCAGTACTCATCACAAGTGCCCTCTTTAATACCCATCTCCCATCTAGACCATTCCCCGCCCCCCACCTCTCTCTATCAACCTTCAGTTTTTCTCTGTCGTTAAGAATCTCTTGGGTGCCTGGGTGGGTCAGTCAGTTAAATGTCTTTCTTGGCTCAGGTCATGATCTCAGGGTCCTGGTCATGCTCCCTGCTCATCACTCCTTGCTTCTCCCTTTCCCTCTGCTGCTCCCCACCCCATGCCTGTATGCGTGCTCTCTCTCTTTCTCTCTCTCTCTCAGATAAATAAATAAATAAAATCTTAAAAAGAATCTCTTAGTATTGGTTTCCCTCTCTCTTTTCTCCCCCTTCCCATATGTTCATCTATTTTGTTTCTTAAATTTGGAAACACATTCTTTTTTTCCCCTTTTTTTCACTTGAACTTATGACCCTGAGATCAAGACCTGAGCTGAGATTAAGAGTTGGACATTCAACCGACTGAGCCACCCAGATACCCCTGGAAGCACATTCTTGATAAATCACTTGCACATCAATCCTCATGTCAGGATCTCCTTCTGAAGAACTTAGCCTAAGACAGTCACCTAAATATTCATTGTTAAATTTAATGGACACATATTAGTTCTCTTATTTGAGCTCCAACTTACATGATACTGTTAAATATCTCTCTTTATTGAATTACTGCCTTTTTTTGTTTTTCAATTATACAGTCTCCTGATTTTCTTCCTAATTCTTTGGAGTTTCCTTCTTTTTTAGCTCTGAAACTCATTTTAAAAAAAAAGTTTACATGACAGGAAACAACAAGTATTAGCGAGGATGTGGAGAAAGGGGAACCATCTTACACTCTTAGTGAGAATGCAAGCTGGTATAGCCACTCTGGGAAAACAGTGTGGAGGTTCCTCAAGATGTTAACAATAGAGCTACCATATGACCCAACAATTGGATTACTAGGTATTTACCCCAAAAATACAGATGTAGTGAAAAGAAGGGGCACATGCACCTCAATGTTCACAGCAGCAGTGTCCACAATAGCCTAACTGTGGAAGAAGCCGAGATGTCCTTCAACAGATGAATGAATAAAGATGTGGTTCATATATACAATAGAACATTATTAAGCCATCAGAAAGGACGAATACTTATCATTTACGTTGACATGGATGGAACTGGAGGATATTATCTCTAAGCAGAGAAAGACAATTATCATATGGTTTTACTCATATGTGGAACATAAGGAATAGCATAGAAGACCATAGGGAAAGGGAGGGAAAACTGGGAAGAAATCAGAGAGGGAGACAAACCATTAAAATCTCTGGACTCTGGGAAACAAACTGAGGATTACAGAAGGGAGGGGGGTTGGAGGAATAGGGTAACAGGGTGATGGTTATTAAAGAGGGCACGTGTTGTGATGAGCAGTGGGTGTTATATACAGCTAACAAACTGGTGAACGTTACATCAAAAACTAACGAGGTGGGGCGCCTGGGTGGCTCAGTGGGTTAAGGCCTCTGCTTTCGGCTCAGGTCATGATCCCAGAGTCCTGGGATCGAGCCCCACATCGGGGTCTCTGCTCAGCAGGGAGCCTGCTTCCCCCTCTCTCTCTGCCTGCCTCTCTGCTTGCTTGTGATCTCTCTCTGTCAAATAAATAAATAAAATCTTAAAAAAAACCAACCTAACGAGGTACTATATGTTGGCTAATTGAACATAATAAAAAAAAAATTTTATGTTACTATCCAGTCAGAACCAACTGGTTATCTCCCTCAAACTGTTATCTATAGGGATTTCCAAATAGACCTCAGGACTGTATACTTACTGTCTTGGAACTTCCTCAGAAAACTCTGTCATTGATCAGGTAACAGAGTAAAAACATTGGAGTCCTTTCTTTCAAATGGAAAAGGGAAAGACTTATGAGCCTTTTCTTTTCCCCCTGCATCTTCCTTATAGATTTCTATTCCTTTGCTTATTCCCTAAATGCTAAGCCTCTTCAAAGATTCATCTTAGATTGTTTTTTTACCCTGTGTATTCAAATATGACTTACCTTCCTGGCTTTATAATTATCACTCACATATTCATGACTTCCTAATATGTATCTCATACCCACGTATTTCTACAGACCTTTAGCCCCATCTGTCTTATTGCCTACTGAGCACTTGTTAGATGTTCCTCTATCATTTTAAATTCAGTGTACCCAAACTGTACTATCTTCCCTTCTGAGTCAGTCTTTCTGATTTCAGTGAAGAGCTGTACATCCAGCCTCTTTATCAAGCCACATACCTGGAAGTCATTCTTTTTTTTTTTTTTTAATTTTTAAAAAAGGTTTTATTTATTTGACAGAGATGGCACAAGCAGGGGGAGTGGCAGGTGGAAGGAAAGGGAGAATCAGGCTCCCAGATGAGCAGGGAGCCCAACTTAGGGTTCAATTCTAGGACCCTGAGATCATGACCTGAGCCAAAGGCAGGCACTAAACCAACTGAGCTACCCACAAACCCCCCCCCCCGGAAGTAATTCTTAACACTTCTCTTCCCTGAAATCAGTCATCAAATTCTGCAAAGTTCTTTCTGTATATCTCTTTTTTCCTCCATTTTATTTTATTTCTTTTCAGTGTTCCAGCATCTATTATTTATGCACCACACCCAGTGCTCCATGCAATACTTGCCCTCTTTAATACCCACCACCAGGCTCACCCAACCCCCCACCCCCCTCCCCTCCAAAATCCTCAGTTTTTTCCTCAGAGTCCACAGTCTCTCATGGTTTGTCTCCCCCTCCAATTTCCTCCAACTCACTTCTCCGTTCCATCTCCCAGTGTCCTCCATGTTATTCCTTCTGCTCCACAAGTAAGTGAGACTATATGTATATCTCTTTGAATGCATTGCTTTTATCCCCAGTGCTGCTGGGCTGGGAAAAATTTATCTATATTTTGAATGATTGCAACAACTTCCTATTTGATCTCCCTCCTCCAATCTTTCTTTTTATGGTGTCTTCTCTATACTGGAGCCTGAATGATCTTTTGAAAATATAGTTCTGAGAATATCACTCTGTATTTATTTCTTATTGTTAATATAACAAATTACCACAAATTTAGTGGTTTAAAACACCATGAATTTATTATCTTAGGTTCTGGAAGTCAGAAATCAGTTTTATTGGGAAAAATCAGTATGTTAGCAGTCCACATTCCTTCTGGAGGCTCAATGGACAAATCTATTTCTTGCCTTTTCCAATTTCTAGAGTCTGTGGAGATCAGTAGATGGCTCATGGGCCTTTCTCCATCTTCAAAGCCAGCAGCATAGTATCTTTTCTACTTTCTGACCTCTGCTTTTGTCCTTGTATCCTCTCTTTTGTCAGTGATCCTCCTACAACACTCTTCAAAGGACTCTTGTGCTTACTTAGGGAACCGACAAATAATCCAGAATAATCTCTCCATTTCAAGATGCTTAACTTAATTCCATCTTCAAAGTTTCTTTTATCAGGTAACATATTTGCACATTCCAGGAATTAGGACGTAGATATCTTTGGGGGCTACGACATACACACTTGCATAAAATTCTTCAATCTCTTCTCATTACTTTTAGGATAAAATCCAGACTCTTCTATATGACTCTTTCCTTGTCATCTCCCACAGCATGTCTTGCTACTCCTCACTTTCCATTCTGCCTTTTAATAGAATTAAACTTCTTTCAGTTACTTGAGCAGATTCTCTCATGTTTTTTAGTCTTTGTAGTCTGTACATTTGCCTAGACTCTTTCTTCTTCCTTCCCTGTGACACCTCCTCCCAGGCACTCCTTAACTAACGACAGTTCATCCTTTACCATTCCAGCTTAGATGTCACTCAGGTGAGAAGCCTCTCTGACTCCCCAGGTTTGTGTTAGGTATCTTTTCTACATGTTTCCCGTAGTGCCTTGTTATGCCACTTATCTTACTGGATTGTAAGTGCATGCTTTGTTGGAGGATTCCTGTACAAGGCTAGGATATAACGGGTATTCATATTTGTTAAACTATTGATTTGTTGTTGAACCTCTTGAAAATTGTATTTTATTGTTCCCAGGGTTATGTTTTATAGGGTGTGATATTAATGAAAAACTTGAATTTTCTTTGAAACTTTAATTTTGATATATTTTATAATTTCTTTTAACTGACAGTTTTAAATTTGCATCTACAAATGTTAAACACTTCTATGTTTTCTATATCTTGACAGTTTATAATTTATGTCAACATGTAATGAAGTAGGGGAGCAGGAACAGAGCAAGGTGGGAGCATAATTTTTATAGCTTATTAAAATAGGAGAATCCGAATCTCATTAAAACAACGACCTAGGGGCACCTGGGTGGGTCATTCAGTTTAAGCGTCTGACTCTTAGTTTTGGCTCAGGTCATGATCTCATGGGTTGTGAGATGGAGCCCCATGTTGGGCTTGATGCTCAGCGGGGAGTCTGCTTCTCTCTCTCACCCTCTCCCTCTGCCTTTTCCCCTGCTTCTATGCATTCTGTCTCTCTGGAATAAATAAATCTTTAACAACAATAACAACAAAAAACCTCAACAACCTAGTACTGACTTTATTGTAGGCATTCTATAGGTATTAGTGACAAAAAGATGAGGAAGATTAAGCTATAAGCGTCTGTCCTCAAGGATCTTACACTCGTGTTAGAGAACAGAATTCTAAATAAATAATTATGATACAGTGCTATCAATGCAATAATAATTGAGTATTTTATGGGAACACAAAGAAGTGAACTGGGAAAAAAGCAGAATACAGGATCCATAAATAATATTTCAGTTCTTTTTTTTTTTAGCATTTATTTATTATTTATGTAATCTCTACACTCAATGTGGGGCTTGAACTTGTGACCCCAAGATCAAAGAGTCACGTGTTCTTCCGACTGAGCCAGCTGTGCGCCCTGATAATATTTCAGTTCTATAATAGGGGATGGGTAGGATTTTGACAATAGGAGAATCCTAGAAATGATATTCAAAACAAAGGGAACCTGCCTGTGCAAGGTATGCTGATGCATATAGGACAACAACAATGTTTTTTTGGATGTAGTGGCTGGGATAAATATCTGATATGGTGCCATTGGCTGTGATCTTGAGCAGTCATTACTTTCTAGGGAACATTTTTTTTCTGGGAAGGTGGGGAAGATAGACTTAACATAAGCTTCTGCCATTGTATTTAATATTGATATGAAAGAGCTTATTGTATTCAAGTCATGGCCAATAGTTATTTATGACTTGAAGCCTGGCAGAAAATGAGGATTGGGGCTAGCTTTTATATAATGGTTAAGAAATTTGGGATTTTATCCTGTATGCAATAGGGAGCTGATGATATTAAATCAGGAGAATAATATGATCAGACACTTATTTTAGAAACATTATTCTGGTTGTTATGGTAGACTTAGGGAAGTGAAGAAGAACAGACCAAAAAAGAGAGAGGCCAATCTATATGAGGGCTTAAGAGAGTGTGGTTAGTGGAATCACATGTAAAATATCATAATAGTATTATGTCTTACTGAACAGTATAATATTAGTATACTCAGTCTATTTACTGTGATTTTTTAAACATTCTTTTAACATAGCTAATTACTGTAGAAGCAGCAACTTAGAAAAGGACAGAGTTCTAGAGGTAGGCAAACTGAAAAATACCACAAGATACTGGCATTTGAACAGGAAGAAAGTGACATAAAATTTTTGTCTTTTTGGATTTTTTAAAAGTAGCAGGTTGAAAAACAAAAAACAAAAACAAAAAAAGTAGGAGATTGGATCCATTTTGTGGAAGTATCAGTTAAGTCTGTACAAAACTTTAAGGTTCATACATTTCAGTGATGATAATAGTAATGAGTTATTAAGAGAAAATTAGTATAGCTTACTGTATTTTAAGTATGAGGAAATGAGTTCATCCTTAAAAGTTCTGTTAAATGGCAAGGTTAGAAAAAATTGGAGATATTTAAAAGGGGTAGATTACAGTTATCTATGAATTTGTTTTTATAGAATACTTTAAGCTAGAAAATAAGTTGAGAAGAACAATAGAACAGTTTTGAGCTCTAGTGTGTGCCAGGTACTTTACACATATTATCCAACTTATTCTTCACAATAACCCTAGGAGGTAGAGGTTACTATCCACATTTAAAAAATGAACACAGCCAAAGTTCAGAGAAGATAGGTAATTTCTGGTAGGTTACCTGGTTAGTGGTTGAACTAGGTTTTTAAACTAATCTTAAGTATCATGAAGAAAAGTTACAAATCAAAAAGGTAGGAAGAAAATTATAATAACATCTAAAGGCCAGAGAAGTATAGTTTTTAGAAGGAAAGGATGATCAACAGTGTCAGATATTTGAAGACAGCTTATAACTAATAAAATTAAGAAAAGACCATTATAATTTATTGTTTTATTCCTGACATATATAAGATAGATAAAGACTATTAAAACAGATAAAAGTTTGTAGGTAGAACTGTTCTGTTTTATTATTTGAGAATAATATTTTACATAGTTTATATTTTGAACTGTAACACAATGTTTAAATGCACGTTTTTTATTTGTTTCAGTTATATCAAGATTTCTTGATACAGAGCAACTTCTTTCTGTTTTAGTCCAAATTCCAAAGCAAGACACAGTAAGTATATATGTATTATATTATTATAATTTATATGATATAATTTGTCTTAATGTGATATAACATTTGGAATATATAAAAATATTTTGGAAGAATATTTCATTATTAATATCTAGAGCATTTTTATGCCTTTTATTTATTTATTTATTTATTTATTTTTAAAGATTTTATTTATTTATTTGATAGACAGAGATCACAAGTAGGCAGAGAGGCAGGCAGAGAGAGAGAGGAAGGGAAGCAGGCTCCCTGCTGAGCAGGGAGCCTGATGCGGGGCTCGATCCCAGGACCCTGAGATCATGACCTGAGCCGAAGGCAGAGGCTTAACCCACTGAGCCACCCAGGCGCCCCATTTTTATGCCTTTTAAAGGAAACTTTTTTTCCCCAAATTTCCTATTCTTATGTTATAGGAAAAAAAAAAGTTTCCTAGTTGAGGAATTGGCATATTTTCATTAATCAAATATTTACTTAAAAAGTTTGTAATCTTTTTAAAACTTAGACTATAGTATTTGCTTCATAAATAACTAGATAAAAATTATGTTAGATCCAAAGATTATGGGTGCTTCTTAAAAGTGAATATTATGTGAAGTTTGATTAGCCTTCAAATATGGTTAAACTTTAAGAAGAAACAATGTCTTTGGATATTTTTCAAAATTAAATAGTGCTTATGGGCACATCCTATGAAGAAAGTGATAGGTGGTTTTTATTCTTCTCTTTAAGGTGAATTGAAAAATATTTACTTTAATGAAATACATGCATATTTTTGCTCATATGCTAAAAAGGAAAAGAGTTTTATACATAAGTAGAGTTTGATTTGAAATTTGGTTACTCTGGAAATCCATTGAAATCTAACTAATCTGTTTCAGAAGTGTTTCCTTATTGTAGAGATAACACTCTTGAGGTTCATTTATAATAAAAACACCATCCAATGGATGGAAAAGCTTTGGCTGTTGGATAGGCACAGAACTAGTTTTCTTAAATAATTGAAATACCTTATATACCTGTAAGAAGTAGCAAAAATGTACATGTAAGAAGTATATATATATATATATATATGTGTGTGTATATATATATATATATATATACACACACACACACACACACACACACACACATACATACATACAATTCAATATATAAGTAAGAAGAAGCCAAAAACAACTGATGTCTGGAACAAAATTAGTTATGTTTGTAACATGAGTTTCAAATATTCCCTCCTCTTTAACTTCCTACTACAGTTTGTGTGGAACTGGTATTATTTCTACCTTAAATGTTTGGTAAAATTCACAAATGAAGCCATTACAACTTGAGATTTTCTTTCTAGGAAGGTTTTTGACTATAAATTCAACTTATTAACAGATATGATACTATTCAGATTACCTGTTTCTTGTTGAATGAGCTTTGGTTTGGTAGGTGTCTTTCAAAGAATTTGTCACTTAACCCAACTTGTTGAATTTATTGACATTACATTTTTCATAATGACCTCTTTACTATCCTTTTATATTTGTACAGTCTGCAGTGATATACCTCTCTTATTCTTGATGTTGGTAATTGAATGTTCACTCTTTTTTTTCTTAGTCATTCTGGCTAGAGGTTATCAATTTTTTTGGTGTTTTCAAGAGACCAATTTTTGAGGGGTGCCTGGGTGGTTCAGTGGGTTAAGCCTCTGCCTTCAGCTCAGGTCATGATCTCAGGGTCCTGGGATCGAGCCCCACATCAGGCTCTCTGCTCAGCGGGGGGCCTGCTTCCTCCCTCTTCTCTCTCTTTCTGCCTCTCTGCCTACTTGTGATCTCCCTCTCTCTCTGTCAAATAAATAAATAAAGTCTTTAAAAAAGAAAAAAAAGAAACCAATTTTTGATTTAATTGATTTTGTCTTTTTTCCTTTTTCTCCACTTCATGGATTTCTGCTTTTATCAGTCTTTTTTTTTTTTTGAGCGAGTATTTATTTGTTTGCTTGTTTTCTTCCAAGTTTTTATTTCAATTCCATTTGTTAATGTACAGTGTAATATTAGTTTCAGATGTGCAATATAATGATTTAGCACTTCTATTCAACACCTGGTGCTCATCACCAGTGCATTCCTTAATCCCCATCACCATTTAACCCATCCCCTATCAACCTCCCCTACAGTAATCCTCAGTTCTCTATAGTTAAGAGTCAGTTTTATGCTGTTTTATGGTTTATTTTTCTCTCTCTTTTTCTTTCTTCTACTTACTCTGTGCTCAATTTTCTCTTCTTTCTCAGGGTTCTGAAGGTAGAAGCTGAGATGGTCAATTCGAGATCTTTTTTCTTTCCTAATATGGTCATTTAGTGTGATAAATTTCCCTCTGAGTAATGCTTTAGCTATATTTCACATTTTTTTTTTTTTTTAAGAGAGCCAGGAAGAGAGAGAGGGGGAAGCAGGCTTCCCGCTGAGCAGAGAGCCTGATTCAGGGCTCAATCTCAGGACCCTGAGATCATGACCTGAGCTGAAGGCAGAGGCTTAACCCACTGAGCCACCCAGGCGCCCCTATATTTCACAATTTTTAAAAAAGATTTTATTTATTTGAGAGGGACTGAGAAGGTGAAAGAGAGCACAAGCAGGGGGAGAGGAAGAAGCAGACTCCCTAATGAGCAGAGAGTCTGATGTGGGGCTCTATCCCAGATCCCTGGGATCATGACCTGAGGTGAAGGCAGACGCTTAACTGACTGAGCCACCCAGGTGCCCCTATATTTCAGTTTTTGATATGTTGTGTTTTTTATTCAAAAAAGTTAAAATACCTTCTAATTTCCTTTTTAATTTCTTCTTTGACATGGGTTATTTAGAAGTGTGTTATTTAGTCTCTAATATTTGGGAATTTTCCAGATGTAATTCTGTTACAGATCTCTAATTTAATTCCATTGTGGTCAAGGATGTATGTCGTCTGATATGGATCCTTTGCAGTCTATTGACTCTTGTTTTTATGGCCCAGAATATGATCCTTCTTAGAAATATTCCATGTATGCTTGACAACAATGTATATTTTACTGTTTTTGGATGGAGTTTTCCATGAATGTCAGTCAGTTCAAGTTGATAATATTCTTTTTTTTTTTTT